CTGATGTCCAAATTGGGTTTCTTAACTGACCTCTCTCTCTCTCTCTCTATCTATCTATCTATTTATCTGTCTGTCTGTCTATCTATCTATCTATCCTTATCTATCTATCTATCTATCTATTTATCTATCTACAGATAGATAGATAGATAGATAGATAGATAGATAGATAGATAGATAGATAGATAGGACTTGAACTTATCAAAATTGGCTTTTGTGGTAACCAAATTTCGCTGCAACTGCTCGAATAAGTAAGACACTACTCCGAGATTCTCACTTAACCATCCTTTGCTCTGTCAACAGACGCGTAGTGTGACATGCCATTGACTAGACATTTTATCAATATTTTTAGCTACGAAAATTCATACAAGAAGTGGATTAAAAAGAAGCAAGATAGTTATTGAACAGAATAAGATAGATATGTTTGACAATTAGACAGATACATATTGACCAGAATTAGATATTTTACAGAATTAGATAGATATTAAACAGAATTATGTACATAGATGTTGAACTGAATAAGGTAGATATTGAACAGAATTAGATAGATATTAAACAAAATAAGATAGATATTAAACAGAATAAAATAGATAGATATTAAACAGAGTAAGATAGATATTAAAGAGAATTGGACAGATCTATATTGAACAAGATTAGATAGATATATATTGAACAGAATTAGTCAGATAGATATTCAAATCGGAAGTTTGCTTCCGTTTTTATTTGTTTTTCGTGGTTTTTAATTTGATTTTCAATATTTTTATCTTTATCGCCAAGAAAAAAAATACCTTTCGTTTCACAAGATTTCCATTCTCTGATATTTTTTTTTTCAGTTTGCTTACTTTTCTTCTTTATTCATAGATTTTTCTCCCCCAAACTCCACCCCCATTATCTACTTCACTGCCCTCCCGTGTTCTTTCTATGCAACAAACTTCAACTTGACTTGCTGAATAATCCACACGTATGTTCCATTTTACCAAGGTCTTGTTAAATCCTCCACTTTTTCTCGTCGTCGTTGTCATCGTCTTTCTGTCTTTCACCGTTTGTTTTTATTTAATATTATTTCGATTTTCCATCAATATTTTAATCTGTTTCTTTAAATTATCATTTCTTAATGTCCAACTCTTTATATCTATCTTCTCATCTGCTTGAATGATTTTTATTATTATTTTTTTTATCACTGCTGCTACTTCGCGTTCTCTATCTTTCTCTCTTTTATTCTTTCTTTTTATCTGTCTATCTATCTTTCTCGTTTTCTCGTTCTTTCTCTTTTTCTTTTACTCTCGACTCTCTTCCTTTCTCTCTTTTCTCTTTTTTCTTCTTTCTCTTCCTCTTTTTCACTCTTTCTCTTATTCTCTCATTCTCTTCCTCTCATTTTCTCTTACGTTTCCTTTTTCACTCACTCTCTCTCTATTTTTGTATCTATCTGTATCACTTTTTCTTTCGGTCTCTCTCTCTCTCTCTCTCTCTCTCTCTCTCTCTCTCTCTCTCTCTCTCTCATTACCCTGTTCTTCTTACACTTTTGTTACTATATTCTTCTAGACTTATACCAATACGGAAAAGTTATAGCGTTAATAGTAAGAATGGTAATAATAGATGAACTTCGCCCCAGGGACATCTACAATGACCACCCACCTCCGAATCGGACGCGGAATATCCGAGGCCGGGTTTCGAAACTCCTAATTTTTCTAACTGTAAATTTGTTGCATTTTTTTTTTATTTTACAAAAAAATATACGCTTTTCTTTTAATTTAATCTCCTTCCAATTCACTATTCCTTCTGCTTCTTTTCCTCCTCCCACTTCCTCAGCTTCTTCTTCTCACCTCCTCACTTCTCCTCCTCCTCACTTATCCTTCTCCTCCTCCTCACTTCTACTTCTCTTCATTTCTTCTTTTTTCACTTCATCTTCTTGTCCTACACCTCCTCCTCCACACTACCTCTCCTCCTCCCCACTTCTTCTAATTTCTCTTCTTGTGGAGAGCCATGACCACCTAGGTCCACGTGAATGCACACGGCACACAGAAGAAGATATGTCCAATTATATCTATGACCAGACGTTAAATGTACTTTGTCGTATACTAAGAAGTTCTGAAAATTATGCCTCCGACAGAAATCGATCCTGCATCCATTTTTCCCCCGTCAGGAAAACCACTTTTTGAGCCAAATGGTGCCTTTACCAATTCGGCCACCCAGACTAGCCTGACAGGGCAAGGTTGGAATTACCTATTTAAGGAAAGCACATTTCTCCTTGGGACTTCTATGAATCAATATTTACTAGCTTAGGTTTCGTAACGTTTTGAAAGGATTTTTTCCCTTACATCTTGTTTGTTTGCTTTTTAAAACAGGGATAGCAACGTGACAGTTCAGTTAGTCAGTTTCGTCATGATACACGCTTAAGCGATCATGTATCTTTCGATACATGACTGATGAGGCAGATTTTTTCCGCAGTAGCTTGCCATTTATTTCTGAGGTAGATCAGTTGCTATCCAATGTTATAGAACCCAGTCTGTCCTGCTATTTACCCATAGTTGGGGGTAGAAGAAGAGGATTCATACCTTTCCTAAGGGTATTGGCACGTAAGCGAATGTAATGGATTCGACTGGAATTCGAACTCGGCTTACTGATTCCTCAATCCGTGCCTCCTAGTCAGTTATGTACCATGCGTGATAAACGCTTAGGCGATCATGTATCTTTCGATACATGACTGACGAGGCAGATTTTTTCCCGTAGTAGGTTGCCTTTTCTTTCTTCAGTAGATCAGTTGTTATCCAAGGCTATTGTTATACTGGAACACACCTATTCTATAGTTAATAGACTCTCCCACCTATAATAAGTAGGAGTAGTAGCAGTCGCCAGGCGCTCAGTGAGTTGGTCTGAGTTCAGTCTGAAATCGGACGACCAGCTGACCGGTTGAACTCTCTGTCTTCGGGCGGGAAGGAACCCGAAAGAGGCTACGCCGAAGGGCGGATTATCTTTCGGGGAGGTAAACTGACCCTGAACCCGTTTATACGAGTTCAATGGGTATATTTTTGGCCTAGCCCACGGGCTCGGAGATCCCACGTTAAACCGGCCTTGTGCCACATGATGCCCTTGTGGGGGGAGGTGACTAAATACTCTCAGTGAGTTGGTCAGTCAGTCGATGTCGGACGACCGTTAGTCGGATATTAAAGTATCAGCCACCACAACTAGATTGCTGCGTCATTAACTATTATATCAAGTTTCTAAAGTTTTGTACGTCGAACCTATTTAAGGACCGACTTGTGAAATACAAGCCTCCACTGTGAAACTACTCTATAACAGCTATAGAACCTAGTCTGTCCTGCTATTTATCCATAGTTGGAGATAGAAGAAGAGGATTCATACCTTTCTCAAGGGTATTAGCGCGTAAGTGAATGTAATGGAATCGAGTGGAACTCGAACTCGGCTCTCCGATTCCTCAATCCGAGCCACTACCTATACTCTAAAAATAACGGTTATAGCAATAATGATGCAAATAAGAAGAAATCCTTTCAAAAATTACTTTTTCTTCTGTTATTTTTTACAATCGTTGATTTAGTTTGGCTGGTAAAATTCTTTATTTCTCCGTTATGTTTCATTTGAGATGTTTTCTGGGTATATTTCATCCGTTTCATTCTGTGACTTGTCAGCGCTATACTGAGAAAGTGTTATACTGAATGTAACAATGCCATCCATTGCTCTACAACATGACGTGGGACCGAGTGGCTCACGGTGACACAAAATTTCGTTGCTGCATCGTATAAAAAACCCACGAGGACGCAAATTTGTTGAAGACTTCGATTGATTTCTTCCTGGTTTATTTTCCCGCTCCTGTGAATTGTCTTAGCGGTAGACTATTAAACTGCTCCCTACAGGGGTGACATCTTAATTCCGCCAGCAACCGGCTGACCCACGGATCAGCTCGAACGTTCCGCTTACCCTCTTCTCTCACTCAGTTTAACTGCCTCCGTGAAACTCGCCTGTAAACTCTGCCGTCCCCAAATTCATACTCAAATTCTTCCTTTTATATGGCGCATTTTGTATGGTGGAACACTTCCGGTTCCGGTCCGAGAGGCTTCTAGAATCACGTAGTGTCTTCTAGAAAAGACCAAATTTCTCCCGAACCATCTCAAATCGGAAGTCCTTCATCATTTATTTATTTATTTAGCGGATCAGATTCCTAGCTTAATTATAACTAGCATTGGTCGATCGCTTTTCACTTGTGAAAGCCTGACGTGCCCCTTAGCCGTGTTGACTTTTCTCATTGAGGGGTCGACTTTAAAAGCTTTTCACAGAATAACGTCTGTTGTTTGGCAACTGGATGACTAATTAGCTTACATGGTAGTAATTTCTACTATTGATAAAAATTCTTTCTTTTTTCTTTTCTTATTTTCTTAAATTAAGTTTTATTTTTAAAAGAGCCCAATATAAATTTGCGCTGAAATTTATCACATGCCACCCAATATATAACATGATTACTACACTGAGCGAGTACACATGAATGGTAAAAATGTTTCAGCTTGTCACACGTCCCAATGTTACGATTGTCAATGGCCGACATCTAAATCTCGTTGCATCTCAGATCTTATATTTCACGTATTTTCACGTGCCCTAATATTGTTCTACACTTTCTTTTTTATGTAGATTAGGATGTGTGAAAGTAAAGTTTGTAGGAGGATGACGTCAGTAGCATTAGTTGGCGCAAGATCTTAACCCAACAATCCAACAATATATATCGTGTGTGTGTGTGTATGTGTGTGTGAAATGAAGCGTGAGTGTATTAAAATAAGAAAGGCCTGCATGTGTGCATCTGTTCGTGAAAGTACTTTTATATATGCATGCACATGCGATTATAAATATGTGTGCACACACAGACACACACACATAGGTATATAGATGTAAGTAGATATATATTTATGAGTTTGTATATCGGCACATATATATATTTATATCTTTATAAGAGGCTTGCCAAGGTTTGAGAAGATTATGGAAATATTTGTGTATAT